CCTTTTATAAAATTTAAATTTTAAATGTATGCGAGTGCTAAAAGTTTTGTTTATGCTTAGTGAATCGCTCGTATTAATGTTATCATTGATTGATTTATCGATATTATCGATAAAAAGAATTTTTAGGAAATATAATCAAAGACATTAATGCTTTTTTTTTACAAGTCTTAAAAATGCGCTTAATCAATATTCAAAAAGCGAATTCGACAGACAAGAAATGATGATTAGCATTTATTTAAATATAATTTCTTCGTGTTTTTTACTATTAAACAAATAAATATTAATAATTTAATTAGTATGGATACTTTAGATATTTAATAAAATTTGCATTCTATTGAGACAAATTTAGATATAAGTTTATTAAAATTTTTAAATCTTCTATAGATTATTATATTAATTAAAAAATTTCAATGTTTTTCTATAACATTCTTTACTAATATCAAAAATTGATAGATGCTTTAAATTTTGTGATGATATTTTAAAAATTATACTATATTCAATCGGAATTTTGTATAATATCGATAGTAAAGTACTGTAACATAGTGTAATAAGGAGAAAAGGAGAAGATTTTAAGGAGAAAAATGAATACGGAAGAATGAAAAATACCGCAATACTATTATTAAATAGTAACAATATTCAATAATGCATTAATGAACAATGTTTGATAAAATAACAAAAAGAAACGAAATGAATTGCATTCATAGCTGAAAATAGAATAAAAATAAAAGCATGTTCAAAATTTGTCTTTAACATTTTTTATATTTGCCTAAACATTGTTCATTTAAGTTAGAGCAATTGTTAAGTGTTAGTTTTTTAAACCGATCAAATCCAAGAAAATTATAAGTATAGAAACGAAAAAAAAAATTACTTAATTTACTGCTTTCTGCTCATATGTAATTCAGTAGATTTATTAACTGGAAACTAGTTGAGGGCTGTAGTGAATAAAGCCTACACTTCAACTATGAGATGAAATGTTACAGAATGAAATAGAAATGTGATCTGATACAGCTGGAACGAAGAGAGAAAAACTTGTGCAGACCAAGTCCAAATTGTAGGTCGGAGTTAAGACGCCACGTTTTGTAATATGACCTAACTTTCATTTCTTTTAATAATAATTTGATATCCGATGTCTTTGTATTTTAACTAATGAGGTGCGAGAAGAATGAGTATGTCGCAATATCCGAAAAACAACTATTTGCTAATGGATTAAACTGCAAATCGCAAAATACTTAGTCGTGTTTCAAATTTACATAATTCTTACAAAAATGCCTTCTTTTCAGATTTATACAACATTTTTTAAAATATTATTTTAATTATTGTTTTAAATACAAAACCTATAAAAAGTTTTAAATTAATTTTTTGTTTCAAACTGCGAATGTTTTAAAAGTAAAATCCTTCGTATTTGGTAGATTAATAAGCTACTCGCATGATAACCCACTCGTCTTTCTTCTTAATAAATATGTAAACCACAGATTCGCAGTTTGATTTAAATCTAGATTTTGGATTAATATTAGTCAGTCAAGAAAGAGAATGTTTCATAAATCAAAGATTTTATAGAGGGTCTCTTCGAGGTCGACGACACGGGACATTATCCTGTTAAAAAGTTTAGGAGTAAAGAGAAATAACTTTAAATATTATTTTAAAATGCTGTTCAAAATATATTTTCATTTAAAACTTTCATATATAAGCCATTCTAACAAAACATTCGCTCGTGTATTGAAATTTAAATTTTTTTAATAGGGGGTTAGTCATTGCTCCTTGTTTAAATCATTTTTTTAATATTTCAGTAAAGAAACAACTAAAAAAGAAATACATCGGTGAAAATATTTAAGAAATTGTAACAATTGTGATAATTAAATATTTGTAAATATATTGTTTTTTTTATTTAATTTTCCGTTTTATTTCTTCAAATGAACGTTTCTTATTTCTTCTAATGAAATTCTATCGATTCGAACTGTTACAAAAATCATCTTTACTTATTCAAAATTATTCTGCATAATACTTTTCACTGATTATTAATTACAATATTCAGAATTCGTTTATATTTTATTTAAAATAGAGACTACTACTCTTTATTGTCGTTTTAAAATAAAAATTTTAAGTTAAAAACAAGTTGATTTATCATTTTTTCCTAAATTTATTTCGTTTCTTTTGTTAATACATAAAAGAAATAAATTATTTTGCGAATTCGCAACTATATATTTTAAGAACAAATTTATCGTAGATTAAAGTTATTGCGATAAGCTGTACAATATAGTAGTTTCAAACTTTGGGTCACGACCTCCTCGGGGCCACAAATTCTATTTACTATAGTGCTGCAGTAGCTACACTCAAAATGAGGTGAGGAATACAATAGATTAAAATCATTTCTAATGACCAGTTACAGTTTTATATTAATTTAGTACTTATATTATAGACTATTATTATAATTTTAGCATGAACTTGCATTGTAATTATAATATTACTATCATAGATATAACAAAAATGAATTAACTAATCAAGAGTAAATTCGCCATAAAATAAAAATCTATCCGAGATTTAATAATTAACTAACTTTAAATTAAAATTAAATAGGAAATAAAAATTTGTAGTTCAATCTATAATACACATTACATCCTACGCTTGGAATTACTGACAAACTTCATTTATTAACAACACTATTTTGCTTCAGGAATAACTATTTTCGAATTTTATAAACAAGTAACTTTGGTATTTATTGATGTAGTTATTTGTCTCCAAACTTTGCTCCTATGGAAAATTCTCTGTGGACGTCCATGACTGCTACCGTACTCAATCAGAACTCCTAAACGTAACCAACGCAATAACTTAGTTAAGTAACAGTTTTACTTTGCAAAATAACCTATTATTAGGCTTCTAAAATTCAAGAAAAAGTATTATATTCGGATGTAGAATAATCTAATCAAAATATAATTAAAACCATAAAAATAAATTAATCGGTTTTAAACTATGAAAACTATCAATTTAGCAAACGTATTCGGACTACTTCATACTCTCTTTAGGATTCGTTATTTTTTTTTTAATAATAAATTCAAAGAAGCAAGCGTAAAGTGTTCGAAATCGAATGCGCTAAGTATTTGGTTTCTGTGTCCACGAGTGTCTGAGAGGACAAAACCACCAAACATTAATACAGTAATCGATCCAGGTTTGCATCTGACCAACGGGCTGGAACTATGAAGTTTTCTTCGCGTGTCTAATACCGGAATAGGTCCAGTTCCCCTGAAAATCCTCCCGGGAGGTCTTTTTGCAGATCGCCCACGTGCATTGCCTTATCCCATTAATTCTACCTGCTACAATTACCCGAGGCAAGGAAGCCGTCTTCAGATTGTCGGGAATGTCTGCAAACTTAAAACAGACAGAGTTGACAGCTTAAAGAGTCTGTCTTAGACTCTCTCGGCTGTAGCTGAAGCGCAAATCTTCTTAAGGTTCCAAGAAGTCGAAGATTAAATATTGAATCCATAAAAGCACTGCTGAATATAAAGCAATGCTGAGCCTTACAGTGCGATAAGTTTTATGATAAACTCGCGAATGACCAGAAATTAAAAACAAAATAATATGAAAAATATGTTTTCTGTGGTATCAAGAAATTACGGTCGGCCTAATCTTACGAGAGGACGGTATCCCATATCTTGCCGCCTGTCCAGAAAGACACATTAGAGAGGAAACAAAGAGATTTGCGCCAGCCAAGAACATAACCTATTTACGATAAAAATCTTATCAATTCGAAGACCATTGATGTAAATGGTCTTCGAATCCGTGGTATCATGTGTCTTCTTCCGATATCGCGGTAAATATTCATTGATCACCGCAATATCGCTATTGTGGACGGGAGAAATTAGTAGTTACCAAACAGGCCATTTTTTGACCAATCAGCAGGCTTAAAATAACATACATGGCAGAAGTCCAATGGGTTTAGAAAATACGACGTCCATATAGTTGAATTCTTTTGTACTGTACGTTCCGGATGCACGTTGAAAGTCTGCGTTCAATACTGTACTTCGTCCCTGTTGCGTCTGTCTTTAGCATCTTTCTCACAACAGCTATTTATATCTTGTGTTTGACTGCCACTTACTTTTCTTCTCCCTCGGTGTTTAGTGTAACACGTTAACACTACTTATCATTGTAATCTTACTATGATAAGTACAATATTTGTATCCAAAACTACAAATACTGTAAATTCATATTTTATTTTAGTTGAAATTAAAAATAATGCTCAGATATTTTGTACCTGGTTGCAATAGATTGTAACGTTGTTGAGATTCCTCGTGGAAAATGGGATACAACACCCGATGCTATTCTCACTAAACTTCATAATGCGCCTTACTTATGTAAAACGTTACCTACATAAAAACGAAAAATAGCAATCAAATCTGAATCATTACAACACAAGCCAGTTAAATTACAACATATTGATACAAAAGGTAAACTTCTCGTCACATTTATAAAACATAGAATTTATATAGCTGATTAATTTCGTTTATTTTTCAGTAGCTAAATCATCACACGGAAACATGTAAAATGCAATTAAATTATTGTGTGGACAGATGCCAGAGCAGTTCATCAGTTGGATTTCCTAATGGCGCTCCTGTTACTTTAATTTTTTTAAAACTCTTTTCGCCTTGTGGGCACTAAGCGGGCCTCTTTAGCAAGCCCATTATGGGTTCGGCCAGGCCCACAATGGCGCGGCTAGGTGGTGAGATATGGGGTCCGACATAAACGGACGTACTACCCGCTGAAAAATTCTTCGGATTCAATCCGGATCTTCCACAGCGGTAGGCTTGCCAGCTCCATTGCTCGGCCACCCGGCCGTCCATGTTACTCTAATATGAGCTATTATTAGCTCATATTAAAAAATTAAAAAATATTTATTTTAATATTAAAATATTAAAGTAAATATTTTCATTTTGTTGTGTTGTTAATTTGTTTAAAAATTATTATTAATTAATATTATATATTTTTTCCTTATTTGTAGCGCCATCTGGTGCCAACGTACGTAGTAGCTGTCATAACCTTGGTAATGGCAGTTGTCTATTTTGGTCGAGATGTTCCATTCCCTTCTCATCTGATGCGTAATTGCACCAACAATAAAGATAATTACATAAGTGCAACCCTCAGTCTTGTCTCACATGCTAAAGTGGTAAGTCGTCTCACCATTTGCTCCCTTTCTTTTGTTATGATCAATGACGCAGTTTAGGCTTAGGACCCACATACTTTATTAATAGCCAAAATGTGTATTTTAAATGAATTTTTCTCACGTTTTCCTGCCGTTGTACCCGCGAAATGTCGAAATAATCTATTTAAGGAAATTATATACCGTACAATTGATTGCTTTTTCCGTAATGTGGCAGTCTGTGATGTGATATTCCATAATGAGTTTATATGTGGCAGTAATTTCCCTATAGTAAGAGTTTTAATGAGGTCATGTTGCATATTTCTTCCATAATAAACATATAAGTGGCATATCCTCGTAATGTACCAATAAACTTATATTCTTTTAATGTACATGACAAGGTTACCCACATCATACTCTAGTAGTTGTATATTCGGTATGCTTTTGCTAAACTGGCTTCTCTTACCACAAAAGCGGTGGCCTTCTGCTCTGGACAGGCCAAAAAACCCGGGAATTTTTTGGGGTCAGTTCGTCCGGATATGTCCCTCTCTGCTTGGTTACCTCGTGGGGCCAGCTGAATCCGTATTTGGCTCGCTGATAAGTACTTAGTGTCCCTGGGGTCGAAAGAGCCAAAAACTAAAAAACAATGTTTTTTCTAAATACAGTAAACTTATAACATTAAATTTAATAGTGATTATAAGTTTAATTCTTTATGATTGTACACAATTTCACAATAAAAATGATAGACTGGTTATTCATTTCCTTCAGGAAGTTTGTGATGGTCTCGGGGTTCTTATGCACCTGGAAAGTCGAGGATTTTTGTTGATGTTTGGAGAAAGTCATGGAATTTGCTTCCTTGGCTGCCTTGTTGATTTTTGCTGTTGATACGCTTGATTAAATGTAGCCGTCAGCAGCAAGAAGTAATATGGTGCAATATTGCTGTTGATACGCTTGATTAAATGTAGCCATCGGTAGCAAGAAGTAATATGATGCAATATTGCTGTTGATACGCTTGATTAAATGTAGCCATCGGTAGCAAGAAGTAATATGATGCAATACAACTTGTGGAAAGGTGTACAATGTTGGTCGGGGAAAGTCATGAAAATTGAAACAAAAACTTGAGTACGAACCCTGTAGTCTTTTTGTATGATGAATGTAGAAAGCTTGATAGAGAGGTTGCAGCCACCGTTTTCATTATGAAAACGTGTATGTTGAACGATGACCACAACCTCTCTAATAGTGTAATAATGTGTGTTTAGCCTAGTAAACTGGCTTTAACATGGTCCGATAAGTAAACTAATGGCATAGTCCATTGTAAAGGAAGTGGCTATGTATCATAATTGGCCTGCTTATCCAGCCACTCTGCCAAGTAATATGCCCAACATGATATCTAAAAACAGTATGTATTTGTAAATACTGCATTAAAAATATATTAGTGTGTTGGGAATTTTTGTATCAATTTCCGTTATTTATGCTTCCACTTTTATCGCTTGCATGGTTTATTGTACCACTGATATCATTATATAAACACGGCTTGTGAGTGTATATAATCAACAAAGCACTTATGTAATATCCATTATTTATGTAACTGAAAATGATAATGCAAAAATAGAACAAATAGGTCAAAAGTTAATGAATTTTAAAACTGGTAGTGTCTTTATAAAAATAGAGAGAGATAAACACTAGCCAAAATGTTATGCAATACTTTAATGGATGAAATTAAGTAAGTAAATTTTTTTAAAGCTTTAAAATTGTACAAAATTATAATTTAAGTATTCGTTTTTGTCAGAATTTATTTATTAATCTTGAATGTAATTTAAGATTAAACAGTGATAATCAAAATTTGTACATTGCACTTTATCACCACTAAGATAATGGATGTGTGTGTAGTGTAATTATAATAAAAAATTAGTGATGTAATGAATATTTGGTTACTATTCAGTATTCGGCCTATTTTTCGCTATTCAGCTGAACACCAAATATTTAATCACTATTAGGCCGAATACCTTACAACAGGAGTAAGAAATAACAAAAACACAGTAAATTAATCATTTTGGAATTTAGATTTAATGTTATCGGGTTAGTGTTGCTTGTTTATATTTATTTATAACTTATAACATGCACAAAATAAAAAAGAACATAATATTAGTCACTTGTATTCACAATTTATAATTACAAAGATCAGCACACGTACACACCTATTCAGTAAGACACCAACCAAATGCCGTAAATTAATCGGGCTATTTTAATGCTAAATTCTAAATAAATTACGTAATTAATTTGGCACTAGAGGTAAGCATTAGGTGCCATCTCTTATTAAAATTAATAATTATAAATATATTAATTAATTTAAATAATTTGGAACCGCTGGGAGAAAAAATCGGCCCGGAGCGGGACTCGAACCCACAACTCCTGCTTACCGTGCAGATGCGTTGCCAGTTACGCTACCCGGACCTCCGTTACGATTTCCTCTTACCTCTAGTACCAAATTCGTTATGTAATTAATATAGTAATTAGCCATAAAACTAGCCCGATGGATTTACGGCGTACGTTTGGAGATTAGCTATTACATCGGGTTTAGCGATGATTGTAG